GAGGAGGAGCAACAGCGACCCCAAAGACATCGGCGGGGTATCAGGTACGTGACTGAAGGGGTTTTCACCCCTTCAGCAACTGGGGATGGGTGGTGGGAGGGAGAGGGGACCTGCAGTGCCAGGAAAACGGATTGTTTTCCTGGCACTGGAGAGTTCCTTTAAGGGAGGGGATGACAGAGTGCTTCAAGCTTCAGAAGCTGTGTCCTTAACGACTGAGACAAATGTACACGTTGTGATCAAAACAAAACGTAAACAAAGGAAAAAGAAGAGTGAGACCGTAAGGTCCTAAATTAAAGAATAGTTCATAAGGAAAGGGAGCCCTACCTTTATTAATCCTAATGATGGGAGCAATATTAAAAATGGACAGAAAGTAAGGGAGGTCTTGGAGGAGGCAGTAGTTTCTCAACACACATTCAAATCCTAAATGCTAACCTACTCACAAGAGGGAGACCAGGCTATATCAAAAAAATTACAAGTCTAGGTAGCATAGGTAAAGTGTAGAGAATGGAAGAAGCATGTAGTAACAAGAAAAACTTTGGGCTAATTAGGGGATGAGCCCATGTACTTAACCTAAAGGAGGAGATGGAAAATGGAGACTCCCAAGACCCAAGCCCAAGTCTAAATCACTATAGAGAAAGGACAGTGATTGATAAAGGTATACCTCGGCACTGTGATAGAACACACAGGAGCCTACATATGTACCTCTCCCTGCCTATTCAGGTCTACCTAAATTAACCCAAATAAAAGTCCATATACCTCAGCACTGTAATATTACATACAGGTGCCTACCTACATACCGCTCCCTGCCTGTCCAGTAAACTAGTATACATTAAGTTAACCTAAATAGAAATTCCTATTCCTGTGCTACCAAATGAGTGGTAAAGAAAGAAAAAAATAAGTAAATTAAAATTTGCTCGACGCGCGATTCGGCATATTAGCATGCCATCATCAGGAGCAGTGAACCAGTACTGTAGCCATTTATATATTGCTTGTCACGTTGTAATCAGTCAGCTGTGTATCCACGTGGGTGTATACTACCGAACTGGCTGCCTCCCGATTGGTCACGGATCCGATCACGTGACCAAACGTCATAGTCTAATTAGCCAATTGGAATAGGCACACGTGGGTAGACCAGGCGCATAGGAGGGGGGAGTGGCAACGTGACGTAAACCAGTGACGAAATCACACTGCCACCCACCGAGCCGGTCCCTTCAACCATAAGGGATGTTTAATCGTTAAGTTATAATGTAAGGCTGGCATAAAGGAAACTCAGTACCTAAGTAATGTAGTGTTTAACCCATACTGTTATTGTTATCACAGTAGGTCCCTACTGTCTAAAAGTTAACATATACAGGAATTATTTAAGTGGGCCAAAAGACCCAAATCAAAATTATATTGGGTTAATAATAACCCTTTACAGTGAACTGCAAATACATGCCTGTCTGTAATATGAAGTAGATGTAATAGGGACAATAAATGGGTAAAATTGCTCAACATACAATAAGGTAAAGAGAACCTTTGTTTGATCTAGTGCAGTCATCACTATAGGCGGCCGCCTATTAGGAAAGCTACATACAGGATAATATTAAAATGTAACTAATATAATTACTGCTACTATCCATATAGACGGACAGAGGTAGGATAATCCTTGTTATATAACACACATCAAAAAATAGTTACAAAAATGCGGCAAATGAAAAGCCCTCATTTAATCCTACGGGTGAGAGGGTCTTAAGTCTGTAAATCAAGTAGGATTCCCGTTGTCTCAGCTTTACCTCCCAGTCACCTTTTCTTCGAGTCTGTGGGATATGTTCAATTCCCACAAATCTGATCTTTTTAGATGAATTAGAATGATGTATTTTCAAATGACGGGATATCGGAGTCTCTAAAGGTCTCCTAACTGAATTGACATGTTCCCTGATTCCCAATTTAAAGGGTCTGAAAGTTTTCCCCACGTATTTCATGCCACATGAGCAGGTAAGTAGATAGATCACTCCTTCAGTTCTACAAACTAAAAACCTTGATTTTACGTTATATGTCTGTTCAGGCGTAATTTGCCTCTTTCATATTATGTGCACCCACACTTACTATATATAATTTTATGCAGGGGAAACAGGGCTTTCATGTAACATTAAATATTTAGGTATGAAACATAATGTAATATGAATAAAATATAAAAGTGGGATAAAATAAGAATTTTTAAAATAAATTTAGTTCTAAGTGACATTCTAACTGTGAATGTCATAATACTGTTTGCTTTTACTGCAATAAAACACATTTTTATTCAGCGATGTCTCACGTGTAAAACAGTACCCCCTATGTACAGGTTTTATGGTGTTTTGAGAAGCTACAGGGTTAATTATAGTATGTTACATGTTTCAGTTTTTCAGCCTATGTTGCCTTTGAGACCGTATAGCAGCCCAGGAATGAAAATTAACCCCATCATGTCATACCATTTGTAAAAGTAGACAACCCAATGTATTGCAAATGGGGTATGTCCAGTCTTTTTTAGTAGCCACTTGGTCACAAACACTGGCCAAAGTTAGTGTTAATATTTGTTTGTGTGTGAAAAATGCAAAAAAAACGAATTTGAACGTCAATTTTGGCCAGTGTTTGTGACTAAGTGGCTACTACAAAAAGACTGGACATACCCGATTTGCAATACCTCGGGTTGTCTACTATTGCAAATGGTATGCCATGATGGGGGTAATTTTCATTCCTGGGCTACCATACGGTCTCAAAGGCAACGTAACCAATCTGGCGAATTTCAATGTGAAAAAAAAAGAAACAAGCCTTACATTTGACTCTGTGACTTTTGAAAACAGCATAAAACCTGTACATGATTGCTACTGTTATACTCCGGAGACTTCGCCGACAACAAATACTAGTGCTTCAAAACAGTAAAATGTATCACAACAATATTGGCTGTGTAAGTGCCATTTGTGTGTATAAAATGCAAAAAAATTTTACTTTGCTTGATGATATCGTTGCAATACATTTTACTGTTTTGAAACACTAATATTTGTGTTTAGCGAAGGCGTCCGAGTAAAACAGTACCCCTCATGTATAGGTTTTATGGTGTCTTGGAAAGTTACAGGGTTAAATATAGTGCTAGCAAATTAACCCCTTAAGGACTGAGCAAAATGTACACGTTGTGAACGAAACAAAATGTAAACAAAACCTGGCATTTGAGCTACATGTCTGTCCAACAGTAATTCACCTCTTTCATATTAAATGCACCCACCCTTATTATATATCATTTTATTCAGGGGAAACAGGGCTTTCATTTAATATCAAATATTTAGCTATGAAACAATTTAATATGAAAAAAATGGGAGAAAATAAGAATTTTTAAAACATTTTTACTTCTACATGACATTTTAACTGTCAATGTCATAATACTGTTTGCTTTTACTGCAATAAAATACACATTTGTATTCAGCAAAGTCTCACGTGTAAAACAGTACCCCCTATGTACAGGTTTTATGGTGTTTTGGGAAGTTACAGGGTCAAATATTGCATGTTACGTTTGAAATTGAAATTCGCCAGATTGGTTACGTTGCCTTTGAGACTGTATAGTAGCCCGGGAATGAAATTTACACCCATAATGGCATACCATTTGCAATAGTAGACAACCCAAGGTATTGCAAATGGGGTATGTCCAGTTTTTTTTAGTAGCCATTTGGTCACAAACACTGGCCAAAGTTAGCGTTAGTATTTGCTTGTGTGTGAAAAATGCAAAAAATGCCAATTTTGGCCAGTGTTTGTGACTAAGTGGCTACTAAAAAAGACTGGACATACCCCGTTTGCAATACCTTGGGTTGTCTACTATTGCAAATGGTATGCCATCATAGGGGTAATTTTCATTCTTGGGCTACCATAGGGTCTCAAAGGCAATGTAACCAATCTGGCGAATTTTAATGTGGAAAAAAATGAAACACAAGCCTTATAGTTGACGCTGTAACTTTTGAAAACACCATGAAACCTGTACATGAGGGGTACTGTTGTACTCGGGGGACTTCGCTGAACACATATATTTGTGTTTCAAAACAGTAAAAAGTATCGCAGCAATAATATCGTCCGTGTAAGTGCTGTTTGTGCGTGAAAAATGCAAAAAACGTCACTTTTACTGGCGATATCATCGTTGTAATACATTTTACTGTTTTGAAACACTAATATTCGTGTTCAGCGAAGTCTCCCGAGTAGAACAGTACCCATGTACAGGTTTTATGGTGTCTTGGAAAGTTATAGGGTTAAATATAGTCCTAGCAAATTAAATTCCCTTTACTTTTGGCATGGGTTGTCAGGCAGGTCCCGCTAATTGTAATTAAGATACCTAATTATGTAAAAATATTACATAAATATATATGTAGAATTAATATATTTATGTATGTATGTATATATAATTTTTTTAAATGTAGGTATATAGTGATATATACGTATATATGTATATAGATATATATATATTATTTCGTTCTACGTGTATTTTGATATAAATATATAGATATATATATATATATATATATATATATTAATATCACAATACAGTTAGAACTAAACACATCTATATATTTTTTTTAATTTTATTTTTTAACGTATTTACATATTTAATTTTTTTATAATATATATATATATATATCAATAATTATACATATATTTAATCAGTATCAGTCTACGTGTAATTTGATATTAATATATATATATATATATATATTAATAGTAAAATACACCTAGATAGTATATGTGTGTGTGTGTGTATATATATATATATATTTTTTTTTTACACTTTATTAATTTATTTTATTTTTATTTCCAGCTAGCAGGGGGACCACCTGTCATTGCAGGCAGCCCCCCTGCTGGCAATGCAGGAGGCAGCTAACCCGGCCATGTGATTGTGAGGTCCTCGCAAGGACCTCACATGGCCAGGGGGGACCGGAGGAGGAGGATCTGCCGCGGGGGGGCTCCCTGGGAGTCCCCCCACCGCGATCGCTGGCGACTGGGTAAGTAAGGAAAGACCGGAGGGCGTACTATTACGCCAGGCGGCGTTTAGAGCTGCCTAAAATAGGGCGTAATAGTACGCCCTCTGGTCTTAAGGGGTTAAATTCCCTGGACTTTTGGCCTGGGTTGTCAGGCAGGTCCCACCAATTGTAATTAATAAAATGTCCTAATTATGTAAAAATATTACATAAATATATACGTAAAGAGAGAAAATTATATATATATATATATATATATATATATATATATATATATATATATATATACACACACACACACACACACACACACACACAATTTTTTAAATTGTGATATATACGTATATACTTATGTATATAGATATATTTCTTTCTACATGTATTTTGATCTAAATATATATTAATTTAAAAATACAGTTAGAACTAATTTACACATTTTATTTTTTAACTTATTTACATAATTTCTAATATATATCTATATATATATATATATATATATATATATATATATATATATATATATATATAAATCAATAGTCTACATGTATTTTGATATTAATATAAAAATACACTTAGTGTATGTGTATTTATGTATAAAGGACCTTGCGATCACATGGCCCAGGGGGGCCGAAACGGACAGAGGGGGACTCCCTGGGCTGCCAGGTGAGATCCCACGCCAGCGACCGAGTAAATAAATAGGACGGCAGGGATGTGCTATGCCCCCCTCCCCCAGCGTTTAGAGCCGGGTCCCCAAAGGCGGCATAGCACACCCGCCATCCTTAAGGGGCTAAAAGGGACACTCTAGGCACCAAAACAACTTCATCTAACTACCCTCAGGGGCTTAAACTATTCTCAAAAGGTTTTAACCCCCAAGTTACCTCTAGCGGCAATATCCACCCCCACCCAAAGTGGCATCCAGCTTCTTAAATTTCACTTTCAGAAAGAGTGAAACGCTGCCAGGCAGAGCCACTACTGATTGGCTGGGAGAGATCAGTGGACGCTCACAGCCAATCAGCAGCGCTCCTGCCCGTCAGTACTCAGCACTTCCCAAAAATGACATTTCAGAAGCTAGATGGCGCCTGCTGGAGGAGTGAGCATAGCCATGGCCGCTGGAGGCAACTTAAGGGTTAAACCGTTTAAGGATGTTTAACCCCCTGAGGGAAGAGTGCTCCCAGGAACCATAACAACTTACTTTAGATTAAAGTTGTTTTTGTGCCTGGAGTGTCCCTTTAAGTGTCCTTTGTCTATGTGAAATGTTGGTAGTTATGCATACACCCGTATGTATGTCTAAACAGATTTTTTACACAGACATATTGTATGGGTTCTGAAAGTTCCTGAACTTGCTCTTTATAAATCCGGTTCACACCCGTTTCAACCAAGTTCCCCTGAAACCTAACATCATGCAGTCTAAATTCATTACAACATACCCTTGGCTTATTACTTAGAGGTTTACAGATATTTGTTTTAAGTACACCACTATTTATATTAATCTGCCAAAATCCTGTTAATAATGCTACATAAACTAAGAACATTGCCTTACTGCATTAAATGTAGTAAAATTACTGTGGATTACAGAGCCTCGTCACTTACCCTAACAGTCACAGAACCTGGATTATAAAACTTCCAACCAGGAACCAAAATAGAATTTTCAAGTAGAACACCGTAAAGTGTCACTTCCGAGCTAATCATCAAAATCCTCTACCTCGTGAAAATCCCCTACCCTCCTCACTTCCGGTGAGGGGAATCAGCTGGAGCCTGTGCTACACATGCGTGCTAGCACTCCTGCTACCCCTCCAGAGCAAGGTCCTGGAAGATAAGTAAAGCTAGTTTTACACTTTCATTATAGTTAGTGCATTCACGATGCTTAGGAGCACATTTAGGGTTAAGTGAGGGTTCAAATTAGGGTTAGGTAAACTACTTTAACCTCTCTCACATCTTATGCTAACCCTTGGGGTAAAAGTTAAATTAAAGTGTGACATAAATCACAATTTAAAGATATTCTCCAGTGTGAAATATCACTAGGTAAAAACTAACCACCTAAATCTAACCCTAATTTGAACCCTAACATTAACCCTAAATGTCTCATGTCCTAAGCTTAGTGAATGCACTAAGTATAATAAAAGTGTAAAACTAGCTTTACTTACCTTTCACGACCTTGCTCTGTTGAAGTAGCAGAACATGCTCCAGCCGATTCCCCTTACTGGAAGTGACCAGAGTAGGGGATTTTTCACAGGTAGGGAAATTTGGTGTCACAAGCGTCCATAGCAAGGCTCTCTGCGTTCCGCAGCCATGTGGTTGGCGGACGCCATGTTGTGGTGGGCTACGTTTCCCACCATCACTGCTGTCAGCTGACATTGGTATAAAACTAAGCCGATATATAAAGAAATCTGAGTCTTAGGTTAGATTAGTGTGGATACGAAAAGGCCGCAGCTTCCAATATAAACATGGGGATCTCACGTTCACTACTTAAGTAACGCTTCGTTAGGTATAGGTGCCAGTAAACGGATGAAAGGTCTTTTGAAATTGGAACAAGGATCTTGTTAGTAAAGAGACACTCTACCCTCTAGGACCACTACAACTTACAGTAGTGGTTCTGGTGCAAAGAGACTGTCCCTAAATTCTCAACTATACAAACACTATTTTTCTTTGAGAAGAGGTAGTGTTTAAAGTGTGCTCCATAGCCACCCCTAGTGACAGTTACTCAGACAGCCAGGAGAGGTCCTTCCATTCTATCCATGAAGATGACAAACACTCTCCATAGCGATGCATTGAGCATTGTCAGAGCACAGCGAATGCTGCGCATGTTATATTAAAATGGCTGAGATTGTCTATTATGATGATCTCAGCATGGGAGGAGCGGCAACCGCTGCAAGATCTGTACAATGAGGGACTAAAGGTATGTAAACGGTATGGTGGGCATAATTTTTACTTGAAATACACTTTGTTAGGAGTACATATACAATCATGACACCATAACCACTACTATTGACTACTTACATGTTGAGGGCAGAGGACACTCCTGGCACATCATTACAGTGTGGATAGTGGTTATGGTACTTGGAATGTGACTTTAACTGGGTCCTCACTAATATGTGAATTGTTGAAATTTAAAACCCAAATATCAAAATTTAGGAAAAGAATAGCAGACCTGAAAAAAATCTCTAACTCAACAGCTTGGCTATTTTTGCTTGTATTTTCCATTTGGTTTTGTGATTAATTCGCTATTTAGACATATCATAGCAGGTCTGGCTTCATATTTACCTACCTTCTTTATCCACAGTGAAACAAACATTTGTGGATACTTTCAAATAGATCAACTAACCTATACTTTTTGCACATTTTTAGTGAAGGGATCATCATTGGAATTTAGAGAATATGTAGTTCTGGTCTGCTTTGGGTTTTTTCCCTCTTTTTTTTAGGTTTTCCATTTTGAAACCTTGCCCCGCTTCCTGGTAATGGGCCAAATGGTTTCCCACTTCTCTGAGTCACCCAGCTGTGAAAGCTTGGTGCCTTTTTCATTGCCATTCGTTGGCAGAGAGTGCTAGTTGACAACTTTCATGCAATTAATGCAATTCCACGTCCCACTATAAGCACATCTAATGATATGCTAATGCTGTACTGTTCAAGGACAGTTCCCTGGTGTTCCCAGGTGCATGTCATTAGATGTGCTTCTTTTTTCCAGTTCCTTTTAAAGCAGGTGTCCGGATACGGCCTGAGCATTGAGTGACACCTGATGGGCGGCCGTCCAATAGCGTGACCAGGCCCCTTTAAAAAATTGCACCAGCGTGGGAGGGAAGAAAGACAGGCCACGAGAACATTAGAGCCACGCCGACTCCCATCAGCCACAGCCACCCTCCTGCAAAAAAAAGTAAGAAAAATTAGCTGTGTGTATGTGTATGTATGTCTATCAGTATGTTTCTATCTGTGTGTATGTCTGTCTGTATTTCAGTATGTATGTAAGTATGTGTTTGTATGTATGTCTGTCTGTGTGTATGTATTTCAGTATGTAAATGTGTATGTGACTGTAGGTCTGTATGTGTATGTATGTCTGTGTGTATGTATGTGTATGTATGTCAGTGTGTTTGTATGTCAGTGTCTATGTATGTAAGTATGTCTGTATATGTCAATTTGTATGTATGTCTGTGTGTATGTATTTCAGTATGTATGTATGTATGTGTATGTGTCTATCTGTATGTATGTCTGTGTGTGTATGTATGTCAATATGTTTTGTATGTTTTTTTATGTATGTCAGTATGTCTGTGTGTGTGTCTGTATGTATGTGTTTTTGTATGTATGTCAGTATCTGTATGTCTGTATGTATATATGTCAGTATGTGTGTGTGTGTCTGTATGTATGTGTATGTATTTCAGTATGTATGTATGTATGTCAATATGTGTTTGTATGTCTGTCTGTATGTATTTCAGTCTGTGTGTATGTATTTAATTCTGTGTGTATGTATTTCAGTATGTATGTCTGTATGTCAGTATGTGTTTGTGTGTATGTATTTCAGTATGTATATGTATTTCAGTATGTATGTATGTCTGTGTGTGTTTATATATGTCAGTATGTGCTTGTATGTCTGTGTGTATGTATATGTATTATGTCAGTATGTGTTTGTATGTGTTTGTCTGTGTGTATGTATTTCTGTGTATGTCAGAATGTATGTCCTGTGTGTGTATGTATGTCAATATGTGTCTGTCTGTGTGTATGTGTCTATCTGTATGTCTGTATGTATGTCTGTGTGCATGTATTTCAGTATGTATATATGCCTGTGTGTGTGTGTATGTCAGTATGTGTTTGTACATATGTATGTGTTTGTATGTATATTTCAGTATGTATTTATGTGTGTATGTATGTGTCTGTATTTGTATGTATTTCTGTATGTATTATGTTAGTATGTGTCTGTATATGTCTTTGTATATGTTTTAGTATAGGAATTCATTCAAATTTTTTTCAAACTATAGTCTGGCCCCCAACAGTGTCTGAGTGAACTGGCCCCCTGTTTAAAAGGTTTGAGGACCCCTGTTTTAAAGGATCACTATAGTGTCAGGAAAACAAACTCATTTTCCTCTTGCATGCTGGATGATCCTCAGCCAGCATTGCCACACTGGCCATACCTTACTTTGGTTTCAGTGTCATCCGTCATGGTTGCCGAACCTGGCTTCCAGGCACTTGAGGGCCTACAAGCCTGGCTATGTACCGCACTGGTGGACTCACTGCCTGAAGCCCTTGCTGCTATGCACGGGGATGCCACTCCTGTCCCTGCGGGACCCACACCCAGCACCTCTGGGGCTCGGGACCCCTACTCAGGCGGCACCCTCCGCTCTGTGGACATGGGCTCTGCGTGCGAAAGACCTTGGACAGGTCATGGTGCTGTCACTGGCAAGGCCCACTAAAGTGAAATGATCTGGAATGTAAAGTGTATTTCAATTTAAAGGCCCAAGTGGCAAATGTTGTGGGAAAATGCCAGCCAAACTAGCTAGACTGGGCTCCGGTTCTGGTGGTCACCCAGATGAAGACATGCTCTGGGGCACCGGTCTTTGACATCCTGAACGAGTACCGAACTGGCAGCTCGGGTAACGCATCACCCGGTGAGGGTGTCCTTGAACGACCCTCACGCTATGTGAAAGAGACTTTCCTGGGCTCTCCTCAGACTGGTCCCCTCTGATCACCCACTCTTTATCCAGGTCTTCCTATACATCCTGCAGAATGGGCTCCCCCAGACCACATCGCAGAATTTCCTCATTATTACTTTGCCGCTCTTTGGACAAGGAGGTCCGGGCAAAACTCCTGAATGAATGCCCCCGTCCGACACTGCAGGATAAGGTGGCCCTTACCCCTGATTTTGACCTGGTGTTCACCACCTTCATGACGAGATCTGGGAAGGATCCTCACAAAGGCCTGGATCAGGGCCTACGCTCAGCCCAGGATACACTGCTCGATTTCAGTGGGCCATTGGCACAAATTTTCCTTACGGCGGATGATGCCCTACACGGCTGAGCTCTGGTTGCCGTCCATCTCCTTCAGGAGTGGGCTCAAAGGGCTAGTTGTCTCCTGGGCAATGCCAATGTGGTCCTCCACTCAGATCGATCGTTTGTCTGGACAATATTTCATTGATGGCGTCGCCAGACATCGTTCACAACCCTTCTTCTCGAGGACCTGGGGTTCATCATAAATGTGGAGAAATCAGAACTGCCTCCCTCTGGATCAGTCCAGTTTCTGGGTTTTGTGGTGGATTTGGTTCAGGCGGTGCTCTGCCTTCCCGAAGTATCTGCTATCACTAAGAATATCAGACGCCTGCTACGCAACCCACAGGCCACGTTGAGAGATCTGGCGCAGACGATAGGACTGCTGTCATCCTCCATTCAGGTCATATTCCTGGGACCCCTACAATATCGGGCTCTCCAATGCCTGAAGGTGCACCCAGGTCATCGGTCTCATACGACCGAATCGTGTGTCTTTTGGAGTCCAGTCTGGAACTCCATTGGTGGCTTGGACACAAGGAGGCCTGGAACGGCAAGGCGATATTCGGATCCTGGCCAGACTTCGTCCTGGAATCAAATGCCACTTGTCTAGGCTGGGGTGCTGCTTGCGATGGCATGGCGACAATAGCACATTGGACTCCGGAGGAGAAGACCCTTCACATCAGCTGTCTGGAACTGATTGAGGGGTCGTTCACCATTCGAAGATTCACCGAAGGGATGAGTCATGGCTCGCTGCTTCTAGGCAGCTGTCTGTTACATAAACCGGTTGGTAGGTTCCGTTCCAAACTTCTTTCGGATCTAACAAAGGATCTCTACCAGTATTGTCTGGACAAGAACTTATCGCTTGTAGCGGAATACAATCTAGTTGCGGGCTGGTTTTTCTCGACACTGGAGAAACGCCAGCGATTGGCAACTACATCCTCCGGTGTTTCAGATGCTGGACTTCCTTCGAGGTTCCCTCCACCTGGATCTGTTCGCATCCAGGGCGAATTGCCAGACAGATTTATTCTTTAGTTGGCTCCCGGATCCCCTCAGCGAAGCAGTGGACGCATTCCTCCAGGAATGGCCTCCCTCGGGAGTGTATGCGTTTCCACACCTTCTCCATGATTATCCGGACGTTAAATTGGAGCAAGCTTCTGAGGATGTCGCCTCTCCTAATCGTGTTGCTTTGGAGGAGTCGTGGTGGAGTTGTCGTGCAAAGACCCACTACTTCTGCCTGTCTCCAAGTTTCTCCTTCGGGATCCAGCAGGGAATCCACATCTGATGGTATTAGAGGGCTGTCTGTCGCTGGTGGCCTGGACCGTTTCCAGGGTTCCCGGGATGTGTCAGGCCTATCGACAGTGGCTAGATAGTTACCAGACGAGCGTATCTACACGATTCTGGCGATTCTAGCATGTCTGGTGAGACGTTTGGATCCCTTTATGGCCCCTATCATGGCCGTCCTGAACTTCTTGGCTGAATTGTTTTCTCAGGGTAAGTCGTATAGGACTATTACGTCTTCCGATCGGCTATCTCGGTGGCTCATGTGCCTTCTCAAGGTTTTGGTGTTGGTAAGGACACCTCGGTCTGCAGACTGCTCGAGACCCCCTGCTTCTTGCTATTCCTCATTTTGGGATGTCTCGCTGGTATTGCGCTTTCTTGAGGAATGGCCTGATAACGAGGAATTGACTCTGTGCCAGTTTTCCACTAAGCTGGCTCTACTGTTATGTCTTGTGTCTTTTCGTCACGTTTCTGATGTTCGTTCTTTTGATATAGAATATTTCTCCTTTTCACCGGATGGTGTGTCTGTTTCTATTTCAGGAAGAACAAAATCTAATTAGTCTTCTGTGTCGTATCCCTACTTTCCAGATAGACCACCACTCTGTGTAGCACGTTATCTACGGACGTGTAGCCAGTTGTGCATTTAGGTTTTGTGCTGACCCCTGCTCGGGCCTCCTTCTCCCCCCCCAGGGTGAGGGGGGTGACAGGGTGTTGACAGGGTGTGACAGTGTGAGGTGGCAGGGTGAGAGGGGTGACAGGGTGTTGACAGGGGGTGACAGGTGGGGTGACAGTGTGAGGTGGCAGGTGAGGTGGGGCGACAGGATGAGGGGGGTGATAGGGTGAGGGAGTGACAGGGTGTTGACAGATGGGGTGACAGTGTGAGGTGGCAGGGTGAGGGGGGGTGACAGGCGGCTGACAGGGGTGACAGGTGGGGGTGGCAGGTGAGGGGGGGTGACAGGGTGCTGATTAGGGGTGACAGATGGGGGTGACAGTGTGGAGGTGGTAGGGTGGAGGGGGGGGGTGACAGGGTGCTGACAGGGGTGGCAGGGTGAGGTGGCAGGGTGAGGTGGCAGGGTGAGGGGGGTGACATGGTGAGGTGGCAGGGTGAGGGGGGTGACAGGGTGAGGTGGCAGGGTGAGGGGGGTGGCAGGGTGAGGGGGGTGACAGGGTGAGGTGGCAGGGTGAGGGGGGTGACAGGGTGAGGTGGCAGGGTGAGGGGGGGTGACAGGGTGAGGGGGGGTGACAGGGTGAGAGGGGGTGACAGGTGCTGACAGGGGTGACAATGTGAGGTGGCAGGGGTGAGTGGGGGGGTGACAGGGTGCTGACAGGTGGGGTGACAGTGGAGGTGGCAGGTGAGGGGGGGGGCTTACAGGGATGAGGGGGGGTGATAGGGTGCTGACAGATGAGGATAGGTGTGAGGGGGTGGACAGGTGAGGGGGGGTGACAGATAAGGGACAGTGTGAGGTGCCAGGGTGAGGTGGGTGACAAGGTGTTGACAGGTGGGGGCATTATGGAGGGTGGCAGGGGTGGAGGGGGGTGACAGGGTGGAGAGGGGGTGACAGTGTGAGGTGGCAGGATGAGAGGGGGTGATAGGTGGGGTGGCAGTGTGAGGTGGCAGGGTGAGGGGGTGACAGGGTGTTTACAGGGGGTGACAGATGGGGTGACAGTGTGAGGGGGGTGACAGGGTGTTGACAGGGGGTGACAGTGTGAGGTGGCAGGGTGAGGGGGGGTCAAAATTTACCTTTTTCCCTGGTGGTCCAATGGGGTCAGTCTGTCCCTGGTGGTCCAGTGGGCTTTCCGGTCTGCAGCTCCGCCGGATGCAGAGCTGCAGATCACATGGGGAATGATCTCATTTCAGAGCGTTGCCGTGGTAACCCGCGGCAACACTCTGATTGGCTGGAGAGCGTGAGACACCTCAGTCTGCAGCTCACACCCGGTGGAGCTGCAGACTGAGGCCGGCTCTCTCCCCGGGCGGACTGACAGGAGGGGCCTCGCATCCAGCGGCACAAAGGGCAAGCCGCCGGGCCCCCTCCTGTGTCGGGTCCTCGGTCATAGACCGACAACCCGACATGTCAGTCTGCCCTCAGGTGATTTAGGCGGCCGCGAGGCCCCTGACTGCGCGAGGCCTTAGGCGGCCGCCTAAATCACCTAATTAGAGAGCCGCCTCTGGGTTTTGGTTGTCGGTGTGAGTTTATTCATCATGTCTTATTCCGTTGAAGTACTGGTGTGTATGGTATGACATTCTGCCTTGGCAGTTTACTTTCACAATGTTTCTTCTTCCTTACAGTGTAATCTGGATTTCTTCTGGTTCTGGCAGTTTCTCATCTGATTGTGCCTGCTAAAATTTGATTTGATTGGTTTTCATGCTCTCCTGCTCGACCTCATCAAGGAAAGCAGAAGTGGGGAGGGTTTATACTGCTGTTATTTTGTTCTGATTGGTTGTTCTGAAAAGTTACGTCAACTGTTTCTTTGCTGCATGAGGTTTCTATTAATGAAGGTAAAGCAAATATTCGTATATGTGTGTGTCTGTCATGTTTTGCCATATTTTATGGATGACATGTTGGTGCCATATGCTATTGTCGTCACATATGTGCTGCAATTTGTATGTGTGTTGTGTGCACTTTAAAATAAAAGACTTATTTAGGTACTGTGATGGTTGACAGCCAGGGTGCCTGTTCTACTTTAGCTTTAATAATACATTTAGATCATGGGCGTAGGAACCAAGGGGGATAGGGGGGGACGCATCCCCCCCAGCAAATCATGCGGGGGGGACAGGTTAT